TCTTCTGCAGCGAGGATGCTTGGTTTCGTTTTGCGCACCTCGCGTGCTTTTTCTGATATCGGTGTGTACAAGACCCTATTTTCGACCTTTGTATTGTCCAAATTGGAATATGGCTCTGTAATTTGGTCGCCACATTATGTGTGTCATAGACTTATATTGGAGAGAATTCAGAGGAGATTTCTCAAATATTTGTCTCTACGCCTGGACGGATCATACCCGGATCGTGGAATGGATTACGCATCCCTGCTGCGGCGTCACAATTTTTCTGCACTAGACGTAAGAAGAGATGACCAGTGCATCAAGTTTTTGCAGAAGTTAGTGCAAGGTGAATTGGATTGTGGTTGGTTGTTGTCGCGGATCATTTTCGCGGTGCCTACGCGTGCAACACGTAGTACAAATCAGTTTTATTTGAGGAATTGCAGATCCAATGTTTTAGCCAACTCCCTGGTGCAGAGGATGTGTAAACTAACTAACAATCAATAATAGTGTAAGAGTGTTTATGTGAATTATATTTGTTTTATGGCATGTGTTATTTCTTATTTTCTTTTTCTTGTAATATTGTCCTGTAATTGATCTTTGTTGGGCAATAAAGTGAATTATTATTATTATTATTATTATTATATACATAGTTATCCAAAGAATTTACTTAGTGGTCGTGATGCCTAGATGGCAGGGTGACTTAAGTGTCTCCATTCATAAAAATTTAAATTTTACTATACGCGCCTTAACGTATTACTACGAAAAACGTAAAATAAGTTGCATATATTTTAGCATTTCTTGCATAGGGAAAAATCGATAATGTGTCCTGAATGTGTCCTTCAAGAATAATACCGAATTGTTGAGACTATTCGTCGGTAGGTACCGATTTGTAGACGCCAAATTTTTTAAGTAGGTGTATGAACTTGTTTTATAAGAGGACACCAACTGCGTTGACTCTTTTTAAGAAGTTTGTTTAAAAGACCATATTTAATATACCGAGTAAGGCATTGCAATTGAGACTACTTAATAATAACTCATAAACATCGATTTTATCAAAAAAGTTTCATAAAACTTTCATCGTATAAGAGGGAAAGTATTTTGAACGATTTTTATTGCATTTTGAAGCGCCATCAATATTTTTCATTTGTTAAGTATGCTTTTCTAAAGCGGCCCTTACACGATCAATAATATTGACAATACCTTAGCATATTGACAATAATATTGACAGTGTAAGATAAAAAATTTTAGTGACGATAAATATTGATAGAGTATTGACAAAAATCCGGATTTTCTGATTTTCGGCCATCAATACTGAAAATTGGAGGGGATATTGACAATACTATTAACCGTGTAGGGTTGGCGCAAATATTTCCATCAATAATCAGTGTAATAAATTCAACATTCAAAATTAAATACCTACTTTTATTTAATTATAACAATAACAAAACATGTCATGTCTATCAACACACTGAAAAATATGTTATTTGAACCCTTTAAAGGGCAAATAATTTTTTCGTTTTTAGAAACGATTTAGTTGTGGTAATGCAGGTATTTGACCTTATTGATAAGTGATCTCTATAGAAGCCACTAAGCGTTAAAGGGTTAACCCAGATGATTTGAAAACAGGTTTAATTCTTATTTTCTGCATTACATTACATTACTCAGTTCAGTTCAAGCCGCGCACCTGTGAACAAGTGGTGAAAATGACCGTCCCATTAACTGACATTGTTGACGTTCAAGATGATGAAGATACTGTTGGTTCACCCAGTTCATTCAGTTGGTCTTGTAGGACATATATAAAGGTTTCACAGGTTTCTATTACAGCTTTGCTGATAGTTGCATTATAACAGAAATCTTCAAGTCTTCAAAATTTTTTTCTGTGGCCAAGTACTTTCTCTCATATTGCTATCCTGTCTTTTCAAAAATGGTTCAACCATCTGTAATAGTTTGTTAAAGGAACTTTCATCCATTCAAAAGTAGTTCTTGAAATCATCAACATCGCAGAGGTTGATTTCTATCAACAGTACTAGATAAGAATATTCATCTCTCTTCTTCAACCATTCTTTCATCCAGTGTTTGCGTTTCACTCGAAGAGTAGTTCCAAGCGCCAAAATAATAGCTACGCAAGCTTTTGTACGATCCTTATTTGGAAAGGAAAAACCGGCAAATAACCCTGTTCGTGGTAAAAAGGTAACTTATTGAGCAAACTTATTGATAAAATTATTGACAATAATATTGGGTAAGGCAGTGAAGTATTGAGACTAGTTACCACGAGGATTGATGGTTGTATCAATAATACTAATACTAATCAATAATACCGACATTGTCAATACTATTGATCGTGTAAGGGCCGCTAAAGGGTGCATGTTTTTTGAAGAAAGGGCCAATTGAAAAGTTATCTATAATCCCACACAAGATATTAACTGCCCAACGTCGTTAGTATATTCATTTCACGTAACCAATAAGAATATTCCAGTAACCAATAAAGCATACATGCATCTAATGACAAAATGAAATTGGCTTTTGGATACCATTCCTGAAGCTCTTGATGCAAACAGCGTACTGGTGAAATTTATGGCAATGTAAAATCTAAGTACACTGCGTTGGGATACAGCAGAGTCATAAAAATTACGCGTGAAGAAATATGTAGATTATTACGAACAACAGCTTAAACATTGAATTTCTTGTAGCACCTTCTTCACTATTGAAGATCTTACACAAAATAGAATGTGTCTGTCTAGAAATCTTTGTTCGAATAAATTTTGGGCAACATTAATATCTCTGACTGCTCCATAAACAAAAGTCATTTTAGTTTTTTCAGCAATCGTGTCCCTTTCCATGCATAATTAAAATAAACAATAAAGTTACTATTTTGCAACATAAGTAATTTGCAATTATAAGTAGTTAGCAGGATTTGTTATGTTTTTTGTTATTATGTATTCATGATTTTCATTATGTTCAGTCAACACAATAAAGTCACCTTAAAAAAGTTCATTAATATACAGG